AAACGATCGAGTATGTATTATCAGCTAAAGCCTGTAAATCATAACTGCATACACATGTATAAATATATATACGGATACGGATTAATTAAGCTTTTGTGGCATACAAGAATACTCTTCTTCGGCTAACTTAATTTGTTCTGTTTAGACTAAATTGAAACAAAATATAAGGTGACCCAAACGTTTGATTAAAGTTTGAATCCAAAATCTCTATATCTTTGATGTTAACCGTTGAGCTAACTCACGTTGGCCTATATAATGCTCAAACAAATAACTGTACATAAGTCATATACAAATTGTATTATATAGAATCTCCAAACTTTTGTACGGGCAAAGATCGAGAACCAACTAATTTAACAAAAACATGGTTTTATGATCTTAACGTATCATCATTGGAGAAGCTCCATTAATTAGTTGAATCACTTCAATAAAATATAAAAAAGGAACATCATGTCTGAATTGGAATATGTAAAATGGACCAGCCTATTTTAATTCCCGTTAGTTTATGGAGCATAAAGAGCCAGCTAATAAAGCTGCGTTTGATCATCCAGTTTCCACCAGATATCAACTACATTTCCTCATTGCATTTTAAGTTCCTTTTACAATTATAAACATTTACTTATTACCTACTTTGAGAGCACCACTTTATAATCCAAGGATTAATCCATCAATCTCATGAACATATATTTAAAAAATCAGAACCGATTACTCAGTTCAATTGAAAGATCCATGATTTGATTAGGTTACTATACTGAAAAAAAAATATCATTTAAGAATTAAGAGTAAGATAATTTCAAAAAAAAAATTGAAAGTTATTCAAATGACAACTTGGATAACAATATATACATGAAAAAAGTTATTCTCACCTCGATATAAATTTTAAAAATTTTATATTTAATTTATATTTAACAGTTAATAAAATAATAATTCGTGTTAAATATAAAAATTTGTAAACAGAAAATTTTATTCTTGTATATATACTCACAGTTAACATAATAGTCAAATAACGTGCAGTAAACAATCACTGCAACTAAACTACCCATAAGTGGATGATGTTGTCAAATACAAATGACATGTCATTGAAGGTCAAACATATTTTTTGTTCAACGAGACTTTATTAGTATTGGTAATTTTTATGAATTATTGACGGTTTAGCCATCGTCAATAATTCTTAACTCTTTAAATGGGAGTGACGGATGCTAATTAATGGAGACTTTAGCCGTATAAAATAAAAGAGTTTTGAATATATACGATATCACTGTAATAAGAACTTATACACAATATATGTATTGAATTAGATTAAATTTTTTAATAAAAATATATTTTCACAGATTGGACAAACCGAATAAAGAATATATCTATGAATTTATGATGGTAAAAAGAGCAATTTATAACAATTTAATTTTTTAATGTATGTCAATATATAATTATTACATTAAATATTTTAATTTTATTATGCATCTATTAAGAATGTCGTTACATTTTTTACTAGTAATTATCCATAGTTACCTTTCAACATGAGATATGCCAGCACGCCTTGTGTTTCCAATATCCGACATAATGAGTAACATCTGTAACGTTGAGGGGTGACTGATACAGAGACTGTGATCATGGATGATAGAGCGTATATAGAAAAATTGAGGTTATGAATATTGGAGTTAATTAGTGCAAAGAGTTAATTTCTAACTTAAATAAATTATAGTTTGAAGATTTATATTTAGGATTTTATCGTATTTTCAGTATTGTTATTTTTAAAAAATGTGAATAAAAACCTGGTTAAAACTTCCAATAGTTTAAAACAAACAAAAATATGTTCCTACGAATTAAAAGTAATTTTTAATTCTTGAAAAATTGTTCATGATATTATAAAATAAATATTTAATGATATGAATATATTAATTTTATATTTTTTTATAAAAATATAAATTTGTATTATGCCTAATATTGCATAGATTAAAAAATATTAAATTCAAATTTATTTTAAAAAGAAAATAATAAAATACATAAATATACTACCGTTGTTGCTATTTATCTTTTTAAAAAGAAAAAAATTTACTCATTTATTTGTCTGTGTAAAAATTTAAGACTACACTATGTAATTTTTTTTATTAATACCATTTTTGTCTATTTAAAATATTTGTATTGTTAAAATAGTCTTAAATTAAAAAAATAAATTAATAAAAAATAATTAATTAACAATTAATTTCAATAAAATAATTAAAATTTTATTTTTATAATTTCTTAGACAAATAAAGAAAAATAAAAGTAATACTATTTTAAAAATTAAACAGTAAAGCTTGTTTGTTTTCTCTTTTTAAATATAATTTTTTAAATAAAAATAGAAAAACTTGTTTGTTAATATAAATTTTAAAAAATATTTTTAAAAATATTTTTTTATTTTCAGTTTTTAAAATTGAAAAATAAAATTATTATTTGGGTATTTTTGTTTTTATTCTTATGTTTTTCTTTCTAAAACTAATAAAAGTTTAACTAAAATAATTTTAAAAATTAAATTATCAAACAATTTTTTTTTATTTTTTCCTAAAAATAGTTTTATAAAATATTTTTAAAATATATTTTTAAAAAATTAAAAATAAAAATTAAATCAAGAAAAAAGCCTTAGTAATTTATATAACACAAGATAAGCCAGCAAGACTTGTTTCTTTACATCAAATTAACATCCATTTAATAATTCTACTGATCGCATCAATAATGTTGTTACCTTTTGTTTCATTAATTTTATTTCCTCAGTTTTTTGTGTGGTAATCTTAGAGTTTTTTTTTGGGTTAATTTATTAGTTATTTTAAAAGTTTAAAAAATATTTATTATTTTTTATTATACTTTTACTCTTTACAAACTTCTTAGTTATTTCAAGTTATTAATATAAAATGAATAATTAATTATTGCAAAGTATAAACATTAATGAGACCAAGTTATAAATCTTTTCATTGCTTGCAAATTAATGAGTAAGATTAATAAAAAAATTTAATTAATTAGGAAAATAAAAATAAAATTTAGATAATTTATATAAATTAAAATATCAATTAATTTTTTAAATTATACAGAATAACTTAAAGTTACAGATAAAAAACAAATTATAGAAAAGTTACCTTAAATTCTAATTAATGAAAGTCAAGTTGGACGAGCTATTCAAAAACAACAAAACTTTAACATTTATTTTTCTTAAATGCAAAACTCAACTTAAAAATCTTATTTAAAAGAAATAAAACTTTTTTAATCACCTAAACCCACAATATAGTACTTCAACTTATTGACTCTATTGCGAATGGGTGTTTTTTTGTTTTTTTTTGGGTGGGTGTAGATTAATTCTAAACAATTTTTTTTAATTTGTTGAATAAATGAAACATTAAATTTTATATTTTAAAAACATATTACATATATTAATCTTTTTTATAATCTCTCATTACATGAGATGGATCTCTCTATCTTTCTGTAATTACTAATACGGTTTAATGCAGTTTCACAAAATTAATAAGTAAGCAATAAATAGCTAATAATTAAACTTAGGTACAAGAAAAATAGAGTTACGAAAATGCTAACTAAAAACATGAATTAAGATATCAATTTTTCAAAAAATAAATACATCTTTATCATGGTTTTTAATATATCTATAATATAATTTTAATAAATTTTTTGTTAAATACATTAATTAACGAAACTCAAAATTATTATAATTACTGTTGAGTTAAATACACATTAGAAAAAACTGCGTGATTGTGAAATTAGTAAAAGTGATAAAAAGGACGAATATAAGAGTATTTTTAATTTCTGTTTTAAAAATAGTTTTTTATTTTTAAATAAAACGTCTCAAAATAATTATTATTCGTTTTGAAAAGATGTTTTTGAATGAGTAATATATTATTTTCGCATTGCTTAACTCTAAACAGAGAAAAGCAAGCTACACCTAAACGCATGTGGTGTTGAGTACAAGACCGCCATTGGACAGTTGACCGTTGACTTCCCTCCACGACACTGTTGACGCCATCTACCGTTCCGTTTTTTTTGCCACTTCGGCCGAAGAAAGGAACCTGGTACAAGGGGCTATTAGGTAATTAACAAAAGTTACGAGGGTAATTATGCACCCCACACCACACCACATGTCTCCTCAAAATAATAGAAAGTGCAAAGACGAAGGAACATAATAATAGTCGCTGCATCATCCACTCCCACGCCCCCATGATTGCGCGTGGACGCAAACTCACAGCTATTCCCTATTTACTACTAATCATAAGCACGTGTATTACACGTCTTATGATCCGGTTCGCTTCAGCTTCAAACCCACTGTGGCTTTGTCATCGGACCGCTCCCATCTTTGGTTTCATTCTGTTAAGACAACATGGATTTCGGCCTTTTGTTTACAGGAATTTCTTTTATCGTATTATGGGTACACAGTATCAATATATATTAAATTATTTTTATATGCTAAGTATTTTCATAATTTTCTATTTTAAGTTTTGCTTATCATGTATCCATAAATAATAAAAAACCATTATATATTTAAGAAAAGTATTAATTAGTTGATTATAAAAGTATTTTTAATTTAAGTAAAAGATGAATTATACGTTGAACTAGGTATTTTAAAGATAATTAAAATTATAAACTATGTACTTGAAAAATTTCAATTGAGATTTGCGTTAAGAGTTTCTTTTAATATTTTACGTTTTTATGTTGCGAGAGAAGGATGATCTTGATGAATTGTAATATCCACCACGTGAACTAATTGATAAAAATTAATTTAGTTTAACTTAGACAATTTTTTTTATTTTATAAATCGAAGTACTGAAAATGAAATGGTGAAAAAAAAGGGCGTAACATACAAACGTAATGATAATGATTAGATTATGTATATCACGTAATCGATCCGATCGAACCAAAAGAAACCACAAGCCGGTCGGGGAGGTCACCGGTTTGGGGTTTGATATTTAAAAAAAAAAATAAAATAATAATAATAAAAGATTGAATAATGGAAGCAGGTGGGGGCTGCTGTGTATATAATTCATGTCCTTATTATGTGAGGCCCTTTCCTCTTTTTCTAACTTTTGCTTTCTCTTCCCTCCCAATTTTCTCTCTATCTCTTTTATTTTTTGATCTCTGACCTAATTGTCTCTCTTCTGTTCTCATCAATATCACCACTCATCTCCACCAAGAACCACCCACAACCTTGAGAACATCCCTCTAAATTTATTGGGTCTTTCTCATCTTCTCGTGCCCCATCACCTAGATCTGTCTGTCTATACACTCATTGTTTGACGAAAAACAAAATAACACTGGGAAGTTTTGTCATAGCTGAGCTGACTCTAGCTAGAGGATAATAAGCACATCATCCACATCCAGAACAAGAAAAGAGAGAGGGAGTTTTTCATTGGTTCTCTGGATCCAGATAAATCAACATGACTCCAGTTAATTTGGCAGGCCAGTTTGGTGACACCACATACACTAAGGTGTTTGTTGGTGGCTTGGCTTGGGAGACTCAGAAAGAGACCATGAAGAAGTATTTTGAGCAATTTGGTGAGATCTTGGAGGCTGTTGTCATCACTGACAAAGCCACCGGAAGATCTAAAGGCTATGGATTTGTATGTTTATCTTTCTCCCCCCTCTCTCTCTCTCTCTCTCTACACACACACGTCTTTCGTTCTTCATTATACTGTATCATATATTCTATTCTTGAATTCTTATCATATACCGTAGCTAGCTAGATCTCAAGTCTAAATGAAGTATGCGATAACACATATATGGTTTCTCTCTCACTAGGAAAACTAGCCTGTTCATGTTTATTATTTCTATTTTAGGTTACTTTTCGTGAACCAGAAGCTGCCATGAGAGCTTGTGTGGATGCTGCTCCTGTAATCGACGGTAGGAGAGCTAACTGCAACCTTGCTTCTTTGGGTGTCCAGAGATCTAAGCCTTCAACCCCAAAGCATGGTCCGTATATAGATACATATACCAACTTATCTTTTTAGCCTCTCTACAAATTGTTTCTTCAGATTTCATTGTCTAATAATCTCATCTGATCTGGGTTTTTATCTGAATTATGGTTCTAATTGATATGATGGATAAGATCTCAGAAAAAAGTTACATAAAATCTTTTCATTTCAGTTTGTCACTGTTCAAAGATGCTCTCACATATCTCAAACCATTCTTATCAATATACTACACGTACAAGCTCGATGTTAATGGATATTCCTCTCGCAAATTATTATTGTGTTTTGAGTGAAATCCAAGTCATACTATATGTATCGATCAATGTCTAAATATTCTTTGATAAGAATGGAAGACACACAGCTAAATGGCAGCTAAGCTTGAATATTCTTCCAGAGTGGAAAGTTCCATTATGTGAGAGTTTAATTTCATGTATATTTTTGGGAAACAAGTGGAAGAAATGTCCCTAAGAAGCATGGAACCAAAGCAGTCTACTGCATTTATTCCCTTTAGTTATTTTTTGGTTTTTTATTTACTAACTGAAATCTATCCTAGCTTAAACTCATTAATTCTGATTATGTAATTGACTGAAACAAATATTTCTTTTCTTCAATATGATAATAGCTTAAGACACAATTTTCTTTATATTTTGCAATTAATCATTTAAAATTCTATATATTAAGTCTGGTGTAATGATTTTTGCAGGAGGAGCAGGGAGGAATTTTAGGGTAATGGGTTCTTTCCAGACAGGATTTGGAGGGGGAGTGGGATCGGCTTTTCCTTCAGCAGCAACCTTCCCTCATTATGCCATCCAGCAAGGGATACCTTATAATGTTTATGGGTATGAATATACTTTTACTCTTTATGGCATGCTACTCCTCTCTCTCTCTCTCTCCCCTCCACATTTGTACTAAGGTGGGATCATGGCACGTGCAATGCCAACTCATGACATTTTTTTACTAGCCAGCTTATCACTAATCAGTCACCAGGCACGCCTTGCCAGTTCACCTGCATTCTTTTATCACAGAATCAACCTCCACACCACATGATACCTATATATATATATAGACACACACACTGTACAGAGAAAGCTTTTCCGTCAACCTTCTCTCTCTCTCTCTCTCTCATGTGCGGGGGGGACAAAGAGAAAGGACGACGCCAACTGTAAATAGTCTTTGACGTCCTTTGACCTTTGGGATCTGTTGGCTAATTTTAGTGTACGCGTTTCATGAATGTGGACTCATGCATGTATACTCCACATTCTGTAGCCTCCTAGAGGCTGCATGCCAGTAGTCTCATGCATTTTACTTGCTTTGTTAAATTTTTAATTTGGGGTGCTTAATTAACTTTGCCTAATTTCTCTTTTCGTTATTCTTTGATCACTACTTTCAGGTACTCTCCTTACTCGCCGGATTACACTTACCCTACGGTTTGTATTCTTTTACTTTTACTTTGTTCTTTGTCTACTCTCCATCTTTTTACCTCGGATGCGTTTTGAAGCATAGCTTTTAATTAGGACACAGTGGCTTTTGAACTTTCATGCAATCGAATTATTTCCACTGTTTTCTCTATTTACTATTTCTTTATTTCATTCAAATGTTTAATTAGTAAATTTCTAAAGACAATATTCGTCTTAAACAACGTCTAAAATCCTATATAAGATATACTCTCCGACTTCTTAAATTGTCAATTACTCTTCCTTTCTTTAATCATCTTGATTAATCACATTTTGTAATAGTTTAAATTGGATTAATTAGGATCATGTTTCTAACATTACCGTCACGTTAAAGCGAACTGCGGAACTGTGGAATTTCTTCAAAATTTGATATTCGATCAACAAATCTTCATCGTCACAAAGAAAAAATAGTGATCCAATCAAGGAAGACTAATTAAAAGTAAATATCAATTTATTTGAGTCGCAGCTAGCTACTTGAAACTTGAAAGATCCATCACTTATTATTATTATTATAATGAATTTGATTCTCTATCTCTCACACACATGCGCATTAAACTTTTGTAGAATGGAAATAAAAATGAATTTTATGTTTTTCAAATCTGTCTAGCCACCTCTCTTCTTGCTATATATATTTTGAAATTTGTGTGGTCCGGCTGAACAAAGAAGTTAATGCATGAAATAAAAGATTGGTATTAAAAGAAAGAAAAGTATTAACAATTTTCGTAAAGACATTAGTTAATTTTTTAAAATTTATTAATACATTTTCATAATAATTTTTAATGAATTTTTATTTAATTTCATATATAATTGTCCCAACTTCAACCTGAGGGTAATGGCTCTCAAACATATTGTACTACAATTATAAGAAAGTAGGGGTATGATGGTAATTATGGTGGAGCTTTCCTTGTTTATGTGGGGATGCTCATTTTTTTACAACTCATTATTGTAACGTACAGGATGTGGAGATGAACGTGGTGAGTCGGTGGCCTCGGCACTGTTTCTATAATTGATGGTTCCTATGGGACAAATGAATGAATGAACATTAGTCAAAGTGCTCCTTTCCTGTCTTTCCCCCACCCATTTTCTTTTCTTTATTATTATTTTTTCTGTTGTTGAAGAGGATAAACCAGACGCTTGTGGTCCAATTTCAGATCAGTCATACACACTTTCCCAGACTTCTAAATTGAAGTGGCACCGCAGAACCAACAATTACCAGTGGTCCACCATTTAAATAAAACATCTTAATTTATACGAATAAGATGATCAATTGATAATGAAACCTTATTGAAATAAGAAAACAGAATTAGCTAATTTAAAGAAAAAACTCCTCTTTTTGGTACATGTAAATTAATATATTGATGTAAGAAATGGGAATTGAAAATGCAGAGCTACTATAGTGTATATGGAGGAGCAACAGCACAGTACCCAGTTTATGGAAGCGGACCAGGAGGGATGATGACGGGAGCCGCAGCGTTCTACCCTTATCTGCAGTACGGTGAAGGGAGTGGCGGCGGCACTACCGGCGGCTACACTTCCGGTCAGGGTTATAGTGTGAACTACCCACCTCAGCTCTTTCAGTATTCCCCCATTGCCTCAACTGGTGGCTACGCCCAGCACTATGGAACACCCATGTCCCTTGCCCCTTCCCCTGCCTTGCAATCAGGTTTGTACACTACTCCTTCAATTTCCCCTTTGCTATGCTAACTTTCTCGTCACCTACATGCTTTTAATAAAAATAAATGTGTGATATTTGAATCTAAAGCACTTTTGGGTCAAAGAATTTAATTTATACTTTATAGTAAAGTAATGGGAAAAGGCTTAGCTTAGTTGTTACTTTTTATATTAAGAATATCAAGTTGACGTAGGAACCTAACTGAGGATGAACTGATTAATTGTAGATGTAGTGGATGAATGAATGGTTATGTTTTGTTGAAGTTTGGGGAATGAGGCGCTAACATCTTTGACAGTGTGTTTTGCTGTGCCGCAGGCGTGACGATGGCTCTTCAAGCTCCAATTCCTCATCGCTAGAGACTCATCTCAAACTAGCTGTGTCAAAACTTCCCAGTCGCTTCTTGAAGTCTCTCATAAACCTTTGGCCTAACCATGGTGCTCTCTTTCACACACGCACTCTTTCACTAACACAAAAGAAGTCCATCAATGGCATTTGGGCTTTTCCTCGCATAAGAGGCCCCCCGTAGGGGCTTAAATGTTCCTCCACATTTGGAGAATCATGCATTCCTTTTTCTCAAAAAAAATGTTGCATCTTCTTGAATGAAAGGTTCCTTCAAGAGAACCAAAGATGTCTATCACCAACACAAGCTATCGGAAATAGCTTAGTTGGAAAAAGAATAGCAAAACTTGGCCCTGGAAAGGCTAAGCCGAAGAACCATCTTGTTTAACTTGGGCCCAAGACGGGCTAAGTAAAAGTACAGAATGGTTTCAAAAATTGTAAATTGGAAATCACAGATAGCTAGCTCATCAACTAGAAATTAAGTTAGTTCTGCAAAAATAGGTTTTCCCTCCAATCACCTCTGGATGAAGAGGAACTTTTAGCAACCGTGGACATTGGATGTCCCAGCTTTTTTGTATGGTAACATCTAGCTAGTCTTAGGCTTTAGTGTTAGGATCAGTCATGTCTTCATAAATATGCTTTATCAACTTCATTTCAATTTTCACAAAAAAAGGGGTTTAACCAACCAATCGATTAACTAATCTTCCCTTTGGGTAAGGGAAGCCAATATCTAACTAATGTTTTTTTTCCCTGTAAATTCATTGCGGCTAAACTATGGAAGTTTAAGCCCAATTTACTAATCTTTAGGAGGGATAGTATTTTATTTTCCCACTTAGCATATGTAGTACATTTCATCATCATCTTGAGAACTACATCAATGGATGTGGAACTCAAAACACTTGCATGTAACCTTGGGAGATATTTTGGTTCCCTTGGGTACTTCACTTACTCACCAACCATGGTTAGGACATAGGTGAATCTCATCACTCTCTACCTCTCTCCTTTTTATCACTTCTCCCTGCTTTCTCTCTGGAAACTTTCACATCGAGATGGACCTTGATACTCTATTAATTATATGTTTAAGCCTATATGGTTTGGATTGTAATTAGGAATGCTAAATTAGGAGGATTTCATTCTCTACCTATGCTGGATGAGAATGGATTTGCTTCTACTATGTCTTTAATTTGATACTATGCTTGCTTTTATTCGACCTATATAAGTAAATCAATTTAATGCTTCGCGCAATGTTCAACTTTTTTGTTATACCTCGATCAATGATATTTTCTTCCATGGCAAAGTCTGCTTTGTTCTAATTTGAAGTTTACACACGGGTAAAATTTTCAACCCCATTTAGATCTTTCTAATACCTTACCCGCCATAAAGAAATCTTTGAAGACCATCGTGGATGATAGATGGAAGGTCGAAATTTGGAATTTTTCTCTCTCTATTTTCGATGTATAATGGGTACTTATATGTAGATATTCACCAATCTCATTATGAAAATCAAGAACAAATATCCACGTGAGTATAAGAAGGTGAAAGTGCGTTTTCATTCTATTACAAGGATTGGCGGACGGGGGATTATTACCCACCCTTGTCCATGGATCCTAATTGCCCTTGTTGTGTAAGATGTATAGTAAAATTTCAATCACTATATAAATATTAATCACACAATTTGACAGATTCTTTTCAACATTTCTTTTGTTAGCTCCATCAAATATCTTGAACCTTATCGAAATTTCACAGCAACAAAAATGATTTTTAACGATAATTTTTATAATTTTAAGTGGTAATAAAAATAGCCATTAAAAATTTTATCAGTAAAAAATTAGTTGTTATTGTATCCAATATTAGTAAAAATTTTACTAATTATTATAAACAATGCTGGTAAAAATTTAATATATTACCACTAAAAACTTTAATTTATAATGATAAATGTTAATTGTAATTTAAATGGTCACTAAAATTAATTTTAAAATTTATTTATTTTATTCATTTACTAACTTTTATTATTGTCGTTAAAAATTTAAAATTATTTTTATTAAATATTTATAATCTTTTAAATATTAATAATTTGATTAATAAAAATTTTAATCATAATAATATACATGCAATTATTTTAAATATATAATAGTAAATTATTTTAAATAAACATTTTCTTGATTTTATACAGAACACTTAACAAACAGTATTTATGTCATGAGATAAGTTCAAACTCAAAAATATTCTTAAAGGGGACCTAAAAGTTATTGGATAACACATATCTTTCAACAAAGTAAATCTAGATTATACACCATTACTTTTCTAAACTATTAAAAATGATAGGACAGTGAGTATGAAAGACTCGTAGGTAAATGTTGCAGAACCAGTAAACCTACTATCTTTTTTTCTTAAAATTTGTCAGTTAGTCCCTAAAATACATAACTAAAAACTCATATGTTCCCAAAAAATAAAATAGAAATGCATCATCTTTATTTTAATATAAATCATTTTATTATAATTCAACTTTTAGTTCGTATTATGAAATAAATTGTTCATGAATCACCAAAATTTCACTAAAGCAACATTATGTGTTTTTAGTAATGTTATAGTCAACTATCAAGAGACAACTTCGTGCAGAACTTGAAAGCATGGAAACTTTGTTAAATATATTCTCATTTTAGTCTTTTATATAGTAAACATAGTCAGTCTCTGATGTTACAACATCACCACTTCAATTATGACTCGATAGATCAACATTTATTTTAATTTTTTATATATGTACAAAACATCAATAGTGAAGTGAAAGAAACTAAGACGGATAACTTTTTATAAAATAAACAATGGAAATGAAAATTTTATAAATTCAAGGATTAAGGTCACTAACACTGACAATTTTAATAAAACCCTCACAAAAATTGTCATTTTGCTTTTTTATTTTTTATACTTCACACCAGATAAAGTAGTAGAATATAATTTAAACTACATAAATAAAATTATAAATCAAAGTGATGTCATAGCTCACCTTAACAGTAAGACAACATGCATGAACAAATAAGAAAAGAGAATCATACTCTTTTTACTAACCTTTAATTTGTGTTGGTTGCAAGAACCAACATGGACCATTTTTTTTATAATAATCTGAAAAATTCAAACCAAAAGTTACACAAGAACTAAACATAGCTGGTGCGCTCTTTCAATAATTATTATTTATTAATTTATTTATATAAAACACAGTAACAACACTGATAATAGAAAATAATCACATGAAATTATCTTGATTTTATTTCATCAATCTCATTTCAGCATCATGAAATAGTAGCATGTAATATATAATATAACATATAATTAAAATATTTGTTGAGCTGAACTATGACATGAAGCTTCTGAATCTCCACCTTTTTCACCACTTAACTTAATTTTCAATAGTTGCTACACATAATACAAATACCATAGAAGATTGCAAATTAATAGCAATAATTCTATAATTATAGTAGGTAAATATGTGAAAAACATAAAAATAACAAGAATGAGCATTATATTAACGCGTAAAAATAAAAATATAATATCATGAGAAAGTGCACACTTTCGTTAATACCATGTGACTGAAGTGTTTGTCCTACTTGTTCAGGGCTACTATAAGTATCAAGAATCTAGAAAATATTATGTTATGAGAAAATAAACTTCTTATAAAAACATCTTTTAAGAAAAAATAAAGTATAAAAGCTTAATTTGAGATCCTTTAATGTTTTAAATGAGCTTCCAGTACAATTTTGAGTTCCAAGTAACTTAGTATTAAAAATTTATCCATAACTTGTCTCATGAAAGACAACTTTGATAGTAACTTATCTTGATTTTGTTTCATCAAGCCCGTTTTAACATGTTTTTCCTTTAGTTCTTTTATCTCTTGTGTGGATAGCTTCATTAGATGTATTATCCACAACAATATTTTTTAAGGAAGATTTACTACCCCATAGCAAAGAAGGAGTTGGACCAAGTCCCAAACTACAAACATAGCCACTTCTTTCATTCCCAACACTTTGGGATACATATCTCTTTCCCAAGCAACACAATGAGGTCTCATAATTATTCAACTTTTCTTGCATGATTTCCTAAGTATAACAAATATTGCAATTCATAACATACTCAAGCTCATTTACAAAATAATATAAATATAATTTATTAAAGACAAAATTTTATAAAAAAAAAATCTTATTATTGTTTTTGCAGATGCTTCATCTAATGACCTATCATCTTTACATTTTTTATGAGTTAAAATAAAAATTTCTACTCGTGTAGGCTTTATTCCATCTTTGGCCTAGTATAGATAGAGTTAAATTAATCAAAGTCTAACCACAAATGTATGTATATAATATTTTGTAAAATTTTAAAATTAGATTTTCATCTATCAAAGTTTCAATGCCTTTAGATCCTCTAGTATGAGGCATCTTTTGCTTTGCTTTATTGTCTCAATTTGTTTGACTATGTTTCTGTTATTACAATGAAAAAGTAGGTTAATATTATATCATGACAGTTGTAATAAGCCTCTAATCATAGACGATGTTGCAATGAAAGCATTTTATGCATACATATTTTGAAAACAGCCCATATTAACATCGTAACATCATTTTATGGTTATAATAAACTAAACCCAAAATGATGTTTCAACTAGTAAGTTTCACCGCATCTCACATAGAAAAGTTATTACCTTTGCTTTTTCAGAAATCCAATAAGAGATAAGACCAATCCATTGATCCCTTGGTGTACGATTTAATTGATTTTTTAACAAGGCATATTTTGTCTTCTACTTAGTCATATAAAAACTCTTCAAATCACATTTATAATCTTTTCATTTCTTTTCAAGCGATTTTTTAACAAACTCTACACTATGTGCAGGGATAAAAAACTTATTCTACAAATAAACAATAAAGTTACAAGTTCATATCATGCATGATAAACATGAATAATAATTAAAAGCAATAATTTCATACTCTCACTTTCCACTAACTTCATCTTTTCATCTTTGTCAAAAACTCTGCAATTATCTATATTTAAAGGTGTTAGTTTAGGAGTTTTAGCTATAATGTCAAAAAAGCTAGAAAGCTTTCAACCTTCCTTTCCTATAGCTTGATTGCGATTATTGAATTTCACATATATTATTTTTCCTGTAGACATATTCCATATATCTCTTAATAAGGTTGGACCACGAACTTTTTTTATATTTGAAGAACCTGACATAAAATTATTTCAATGTCATAATTGAATTCAATCAAATATAAATAAATATAAGGCAATTATTCATTACAATAATGTCACCTGATTCATCATTTTCCTTAACATTAATGTTATCTAGATTATTTAATTCTCCAAATTGAGCATGAGAGCTATTGTGGACATTTATTAATTGCTTTATATAAGGCCGCACTACTTCATCATGTCATTGTTCTTCAACAAACCTAATGTTACATTTTTTAACCATTATGACAAATTTTCTTGCAATATTCTTTAACATTAGTACAAAGATCATGATGTATTTATATAAATTTGACATATATATATATATATATATATATATATATATATATGAGTTTTATATCTATTCCAACTATCAAAGTTTGATATAACCTATTATAAACAAAGAACTAGAAAAGAAAGTATGAAGATAGCTACGTGAACATACAAAGAAAGTGTGAAAATGATTAAATATAAAACTTAAATAAAAAATATAAATATTTTTTGAATTACCTATTTTATTTAGAATCATTATCATAGTCATTGTCATTTTCTTTATCTGCAAGAAGGTTGGACTGTAGATTCGTATTAATTACTATCCTTTCAACATTGATTCTTATCCAATCATTATTGTCATGGTCTAAATTAGAAACACTTTCTAACAAAGATATGTCACTAGCACCATTTTGCATTGATAATTCAAACTGTATATTTTTTTATTCCCATATAAAAAATGTATCGAGATTTTATGGGCCTAGGGACAAACCTTTCATGATTATAGGCATCTTGTACAAAAATTACTTGTTGAGCTTGACGTACAAATATAAAAAGTTCATCACTTGCTCAATCGCCTAAGTGTATTAGGTGTGAAAAGTTCCTTAACTTCTTTACCTTGAGTTACATCAACCCAATCACATTTGAATAAGATAACTTTAAATTCTTCAAAGTAATTCAACTTAATAATATTATTCAATCTATTATAGTAAGTAATATTTCTAGACTTGGCAGCATCGCCATTTGTGCTCGCATAACTTTCTGTTT